CCGCCGCCGCCGCCGCCGCCGCCGCCGCCACTAACAGCGACGCAGCCGAGAGCATCGCCGAAATCCCGAGACCACCAAGTCCAAAGCATGACCCGAGCAGCTCCATCTACCCCTACAACGCCTACGTCCATCCCTTTTCCTACATTTCCAAGCCTCTGCTCGAGGACGAAGAGTACACCGCCACCAAGCAGCAGCGCCTCTTGATACCCAGCCTCATGCCCGCAGGCCTCGAGCCTCGCCTGCTGTTGGAAGAGCGCGACCGCTTCGTACAGGCGCGCATCCGCCAACGCATCCGCGAACTCGAGTCCTTCCCCGCCGACATGTCGCAGAACCCCACCATGGCGAGCCTCAAGGGCAAGGAGAACGCGCACGACCTCCACTCCCAGCTCAACGGAAGCCTCCAAGGTGACAATGCCAAGTTGAAAGCACTCATCGAGCTCAAATCGCTCCACCTGCTCGAAAAGCAAAAGCTGCTGCGCGAGCAGGTCGTCCAGAGCCTCAACCTCGCTACCACCCTCGGTCTCGACCGTGTCGCTTTCCGACGTGTCAAGAAGCAGACGCTCCGCGATGCACGCATGACCGAGCAGCTCGAGCGCAAGCAGCGCGTCGAACGCGAGAAGCGCGCTAGGCAAAAGCACATTGACTACCTCAGCACCATCTGCAACCACGGACGAGACCTCGTGTCGGCGCACACCAAGGCCAACGACCAGGCACGCAGATTCGGTCGCGCCATGCTCAAGTTCCACGCCGACACCGAGAAGGAAGAGCAGAAGCGAGTCGAGAGGATCGCCAAGGAGCGTCTCAACGCGCTCAAGGCAGACGACGAGGAGGCCTACCTCAAGCTCATCGACACCGCAAAGGACACGCGTATCACCCACCTCTTGCGACAGACCGACGCCTACCTCGACAGTCTCGCCCAAGCCGTGCAGGCGCAGCAGAACGACGACGTCCACGCAGAAGCTATCGCCGCAGAGCGTCAAAACGAAGACACCTCCAACCAGGAGATCGGCGTGGCGGTCGACGAAACCATGTTTGGCGCCACGCGTCAGGACGACCCGAGCGAAGACCGCGGCAAGGTCGACTACTACTCGGTGGCACACCGCATCACCGAGCGCGTCACCCAGCAGCCGTCGATCCTCTCGGGTGGCACGCTCAAGGAGTATCAGATGAAGGGTCTTCAGTGGATGATCTCGCTCTACAACAACCGTCTCAACGGCATTCTGGCCGACGAGATGGGTCTGGGCAAGACCATCCAGACCATCTCTCTCATCACCTTCCTCATGGAGTACAAGAAGCAGAACGGGCCCTTCCTCGTCATCGTGCCGTTGTCGACGCTCACCAACTGGGTCAACGAGTTCAACAAGTGGGCGCCCTCGGTCTCGACGCTCGTCTACAAGGGTACGCCCAACGTGCGAAAGCAGCTCACGGGTCGTCTGCGCTCGATGAACTTCCAGGTGCTGCTCACCACCTACGAGTACATCATCAAGGACAAGCACCTGCTCGGCAAGATCAAATGGGTCCACATGATCATTGACGAGGGTCACCGCATGAAGAACACGCAGTCCAAGCTCACCATCACGCTCACGCAGTTCTACACCAGTCGCTACCGTCTCCTTCTGACCGGTACGCCGCTGCAGAACAACCTGCCCGAGCTGTGGGCGCTGCTCAACTTTGTGCTGCCCAGGATCTTCAACTCGGTCAAGAGCTTCGACGAGTGGTTCAACACCCCCTTCACCAACACCGGCAACGAGGGCGGCATGATGCTCAACGAAGAAGAAGCCCTGCTCATCATCAAGCGTCTCCACAAGGTGCTCCGTCCCTTCCTGCTGCGTCGTCTCAAGAAGGACGTCGCCTCCGAGCTGCCAGACAAGGTGGAGAAGGTGATCAAGTGCAAGATGAGCGCGCTCCAGCTCAAGCTCTACCAGCAGATGAAGAAGCACAAGATGATCCTGTCGGGCGAAGACAACAGTACCGCCGGCAAGAAGGCCAAGCCGCAGGGTATTCGAGGTCTGCAGAACGCCATCATGCAGCTGCGAAAGATCTGCAACCACCCTTACGTGTTCGAGCAGGTGGAGCTGGCCATCAACCCGACCAAGGAGAACGGTCCCGACCTCTACCGTTCAGCAGGCAAGTTTGAGCTGCTCGACCGCCTGCTGCCCAAGCTCTTCGCCACCAAGCATCGCGTGCTCATCTTCTTCCAGATGACTGCCATCATGGACATCATGGAGGACTTCTTGCGATATCGCGGCTTCAAGTACCTCCGTCTCGACGGTTCCACCAAGCCGGACGACCGATCGCAGCTGCTCAAGATGTTCAACGCGCCCGGTTCCGAATACTTTGTCTTCATCCTGTCCACGCGTGCCGGTGGTCTGGGTCTCAACCTGCAGTCGGCCGACACGGTCATCATCTACGACTCGGACTGGAACCCGCATCAGGATTTGCAGGCGCAAGATCGAGCGCACCGTATCGGTCAGAAGATGGAGGTGCGTATCCTGCGTCTCGTCACGGAGAAGTCGGTGGAAGAGACGATCTTGGCGCGAGCGCAGGACAAGCTCGAGATCGAGGGCAAGGTCATCCAGGCCGGTAAATTCGACAACCAGGCCACCGCCGACGAGCGAGAGCTGCTGCTGCGAGCCATGTTAGAAGCCGACAATGACGATGAAGACGAGGACGACGGCGACTTCAACGACGACGAGCTCAACCAGCTGCTCGCGCGTGGCGAGCACGAGGTCCCCATCTTCCAGCAGATCGACAAGGAGCGCCAGCAGAAGGACGAGGAATTCTGGAAGTCCCTGGGGTACAAGGGTAAGCTGCCGGAGCGCCTCATGCAGGAGAGCGAGCTGCCGTCGGTGTACCAGCAGGACTTTGATGCGGACAACGTGTTGGCCGAGAACGCCGAGGAGGAGCAGCCGACAACGCGTAAGAGGAACGTGGTGCACTACGACGATGGCCTTACAGAGGACCAATTCTTGCGTGCGCTGGAAGACGACGATGTGGACATCAACGACATCGTCGAGCGCAAGCGTGAGCGCATCGAAAAGCGTCGCGCCAAAGCGATGATGCAATCCTTGGATTCGACCGAGGGCACGCCAGATCCCGAGACCGGCCGACGCAAGAAGGGCGGACGCGGACGCGGCATCGGCGCGAGCGAGACGCCGGAACCGTCGCCCGGACCGTCGGGACGCAAGCGCAAGCGCTTGGGAGTCGCCTCCATGGATGGCTCGCCCGACTACGAGGAGAGTCCGTCGGCGGCGCGGATTGCGCAGCCCAAGCGACGCAAGACGGGCGGCGAAGACGACGTGCGCGACCGCATCAAGTATGCGCTCAACCAGTGCTACCGTGCGGTCGAGGCGTGTCTGGAGCCCGAGACGGGCAGGAAGAGGTGTCTGCTCTTCCTGGACGTACCGAGGAAGAGCGACTATCCCGACTACCACGTCATTATCGAGAAGCCGATTGCCATGCGCCAGATCAAGCGCCGGATCGACAACCGCACGTTCCGACGCGTCGACACGTGTCGCGATGAATTCCACCTCATGGTTCGCAACGCAAAGACGTACAACCAAGAGGGCTCTTGGGTCTACAACGATGCTGTCGAGCTGCAGAAGGCCTTTGATGCCACCTACGACATGCTGTGCAGGTTCAGCGGCCTGCCCGGATCGGAAAACGAAGGCGAAGTGCCAAGTGGAGGCGGCGAGACGCGGGATACCTCGGTGGCAGGCGACGACGATGAAGAGGGAGACGAGGACGAGGAAGACGAGAAGCCCCATGTCGCCGCGCCCAGAGGCATCAAGATCAAGCTGGGCAAGAGGTCCAAGCCCAAGAAGGGAAGAGAGTCGGATGACGACGAGTAGTGTCGTGCAGCCCGGACTCGAGACCTTCTCACACAAAAAATCCCCCTTTTAGTTTCGTGACACAATGTCTCAAGTGAATGGCTTTCAATGATTAGGTTTTTCATATCACACGCGAGCCGACGGTGAAAGTGGTGAAGGGCCTGAGATGCTTGATGGTGGATGTGGAAGCTGTACTGCGGTTGCGGTGCTTGCTTTGAGGCCGCGACGGCGGCCAGTGGTTTTGGCGGGATTGATTTTCAGGCGGAGATTTCGGTGTTGCGAATAACATGGGACGCATGCGGGATAATTTGCCTTCTTGGATACGTGCGTGCGTTGCTTCTTGACTCTTGTTGTCTCTTGTTGTTGTGAAGGTGCTCCGGTGATGGCAATGCTCTCGGTCGGTTGCCTAGGGATACAGCTAGGGTCGGGTGATGGTGGGGCCCGATGTGGAACTCTGGGTGGCGATGCTCGGCATGGTCTGGCTGCGGCTGGATCGGTGTCGGCGTGTCGTGGTCGACACTTCGGCGACCCTTTTGGTGCTTCTTAGGTGGCTTGCTTGCTTGTTTGTCAATGTGGATGGCGCGCTTGTTGCAACGGTAAGGACTCGGAGCGATGTTCGAGCGGAGGCTTTTCGCGCTCCTTTTGCCAGCCTAAGCGGAGCCAGCGGCTGTGCAGGAAGACGCCCTGATTGGAAAGTGTGGAGATGGCGCTCGCGGCATACTCGTGTGTGGCGAGCGTGACGAAGCCGTAGCCGCGTGCGGGCGGGATACGCGCCTCGACCGAGTGGCCGCGGTTAAATGGTGCGAAGACACGCACCAGGTCGGCGGCCGTCGTGAGCGGCGACAAGTTCCCCACGTACACGCTCGACACACTCGCCGGCGCCTCGCTGAGCACCTGGTCGAAGTGGAGCTTTGCGCCCGTGCCGCTGGGGAACTTCGTCGGTCCTGTGGTGGTGTGTCGCCTCGGCAAGCCGGGAAGGCCGAGATCAGCTACAGGCGGGAAGAACGATGCCGTACTCGTCACGGTCGAGTCGAATGGATCAAGCTGGCTGTAGGCGCCGGGATACTGCGGGTGTGGCGTGCTGCTAGGATATTCAGCGGTGGCGGACATGATCGAGAGCTGGCTAATCTTCTGGTTGGCCCAGTTGACGCGGATTTGTCGGCCGCCGAGCCACTGCCCTTGCATGGTGGCGATGCAAGTCTCTGCGTCGCGCTTGCTGCGAAAGCTGACAAAGCCAAACCCACGAGACTTGCCCGTCTCTGCATCGTACATGACGCGGACGTCTACTAAAGAAGGGAGTCTTGAGAAGGACGAGTATAGCATGGAGTCGTCTACATCTGGCGACAAGTCGCCGACGAAGAGGTGCGCATTACCAGCGTTGCTGTGTGTCGGCGCGCTTCGATCAGGCTCGGTCACGGTCATGGCCTCTGGATGCATGCTTTGCTTAGCCCAGCACACCTTGATGGGGATGCCGAAGCAGAGCCAACCATCCAAGGTGCGAACAGCGCGCTCGGCCGAAGAGACGTCGACAAACTCGACGAAGCCATAGGCAAGGCCAGCTGAGTTACGACTCGCAACCACTTTGACCGACTGAATCGGCCCGAGGGAGGCAAACATGTCTCGCAGCGCACGCTCTGTCGTTGTGCTGGGTAAGTTGGCGACGTGAACAAGCGGACGGATGGGTAGAGACGAGCTGGCTCGCGACGCTGACGGGTCTGAGCCGGGTAAGCCTGACAGTGACGGCATCGTCATTGTCGCTACGCACGTGTACAGGTTGACCAGATAGAGTTCGATGACTGGGAATCAAGACGTCGATGCTGTCGTCACGCATGCCAGTTGGGAAGGCGGATATGTCGGCGCAGTTTCAATGATGCAGAAGAAGTGTCGATCGGTTAGTATCATGTCGGTGTCGTCCAGTAGACTGGCGGTTCTGTTTTACGCTCAATGGAGCACGACGACGACATAGGTTCGGACGAGTTGTCGAAGTTCTGAGACCCGACTGGTTTCCGGAGGGTGGAAACAATAACGACTCCGCAAAGGACAACTTGTTTACTCTGTCGCCATGGGACCTCGGCACTATCCATGGATCGACTGTGCTGAGCACTATACGCTCGGCTGCGACGCATCGTTACTCACCTGGAGATTGTGTCACTTCGCTCAGCCTGGGCTCTTACTCTGAGCCCTGCATGGCGAGTGGGATGTCTGTCGACGCTGGTTGTATGGTGGACGAGTTGGCCAAGAATGCGCTCACATCGAACAATGCGAATCACCTCGTCTTTTAGCTGTGCACTCGACAAGGTGATCGACTTACCGGGCTGATGTGAGCTATCAAGGTGCAGTTGAGATGTCGAGAACAGCTAGACGCTCAGATCGTTGGATATGTCGACGAATGCTGGCAAGTGACTGAAAGAGGGGATCGATACAGAACTTGGAAGCAAGAATGCCCTTTCCCACCGGGGAAAAAAGAGGAGCGATTCCTCTTGGTGGGTATGGAAACGATGAGGTGGGAGGGGCGGGCACGGACATGGAGGACGAGATGATGGAGCCGGAAGGGGGGCGACTGGTGAAGACGTAGCGCAAATGGAGAGTCTCTGGTGGACAAGGCTCGACAATCCGGCCGGAGCGGAGCGGCAACGCATACGGGAGCAGCAGGAGGCGGGCAGGAAAAGCGTGCAGGCTGCACATGCAGACTGCGGAGCGGCGACAGAAGCGTCGAGTTCGGAGGCCATCCGAACGGTATGAAATGAACGCAATTCCCACATCATACGGTCATGGTACATGGATTCCCGAACGGGTCACCGCACTTTGACGCTCTCGCGCCCCACCTGCGGCTGAGGCGGAAGGGGATTGAGCGGAGCGGCGCTTCCGTAGGATTATTTCGGGCATGGTGACTACGCCTATCGGAGGAACCGAGGCTTTGCCTCACCGAAACGGCCAACCCGAATCAGTGCGACTGGGAGTCTGTGAGATAGGCGCAAAGCCACGCACGAACATCACGTCCCGAAGCAGCGTCATTGCGTACATGGCTGTCCACCGGTAGCATCGAGGCAGGACGAGCGGCTCGGAACACAGGCCTCGCTTAATGACGGAGGAGTGCGGAGCAGATGGGATACGTAACCGAGCAGTCGAATGAGAAAGCATTGCAGAGGACTGGCTTCTCGGCAAGCTCAGAGGGGCAACAGCGCTGAGGCACGATTAGGGTACAGTGTTTCACGCTACGAGACAGGCAGCAGGCAGCTTGCGGGTGACTTCCGAGGGAGGAGACGGAACGAGGAAATGCGAGGCACAACAGGAGCGGCGGACAATGATGTGTGGTTCCTGAAGCGTGCATACGTCACCAATGGCGACGTCAATCTCGCCAGGCTGCGTGAGAGCCGTGGTACGGGAGCTAGAAGATTCTACAAACAAAGGGTGAGGCATGACCGGGCGTGGGCAGTGCCAGAGGCAGAAGCGGGGGCAGAGGCGGGGCAGAGGCAGAGGCAGAAGCTGGTGAGCCTCCAATAGGTGGTCCAAGCGACCCGGCTTTCCAACTGGCCGAAAGGAGAAGAAAAAAAAATCAAGACTCGCGCACAAAGTGTGGAAGTCGAGCTCTAAATTACCGTAGCTCTAAATTAGATTCGACAGGCGGACGCCGGTTGTTTTCTATAGGTTGGCCAAGGCGAACTTCATAAAAAATGAAGCTGGGCAGGTGGCCCTGAGACAATTGGCTTGCCGGGGCGGCATTTGCACGCGTACCGCCCAGCGCACACTACACGCGAGCGCGGAGCAGCGCAGGGCAGATCCGACCGTCGCCTTGATCCAGGAGCAGCAAATTTAAGGTGAGGGAATCCGCTCGCCCGTCCTCGCTTCCATGCGTCGTCTAGGCGAGCTCGAGCTCGAGCCGCGCTCAAAAATCCCAGGCGAGCGTGCAACTGTGCTCATGTGCTCCATGTGACCATCTGTACCGCATCCATCCATCCACGCGCCCAGAGCAGGCGTAAGCATGGACCGAGCGCTTGACCGCTTTGGATAACAAACAACATCAATACCCCAGCCTTGGCCGTGAAATCCATCTGAGCTCGAGCATCATGTAGGTACGGATGCCCCCGACGTCGTACGCAGTTGGGACATCAGCCTCATCTCCTTGAGCATCCTCGAAGGGCTGTGAAATGAGGGACGCTCAAGTAGAGGCCGAGAGATCTTCCGCTCGCTGCTGCATCTTGTTGGGCGGCTTCCCCTTCCAGCATGCGCAGTCATCCCCTCCTCGCTTGCTGTCATCAGACACTCGCTTGGAACATCTAACGAGATCTAGGCGCGCGCCTTTCTCCGTCCCTTGCCCCCCTTCCTCCCCTGCCGGAGAATCCAATTGGCCGAGAAAGTACGCCTGCATGCCTCTCTGTTGTCACAACGCCTTCAGAGTCGGCGCTTGGTCGCTAAGCCACTCCGTATCCGGCTAAAAGGATTCATCCACCAGCTGGCTCGGTTGCTTGCAGAGCGCGGGTTACCGCCGACACCAGAAGCTGCACGGTGATAAAGGAAAGGCAGCTTGGCAAGGCCAGTCGTCCGGTCATGGCCTAGCAAGAACGCACGTTCCAAGCTCCATTTGTTCGCGCGGATCTTGAAGTACATCCTTCGAGAAAAAGTAGAGCAAACATCAGCACCCTGATCATGCACCCACACACCATCGACTGGTCAGACTTGCGACATGGCCGAGACAAAGAGGAGCTCTACGATTAACTTCTACAGATGAGTACAGCGGCCTGCTCTAGTCGCGCTTTTCCGGGTGAGCCTCGTGCGCTTGGGCTGCGCCAGGTTCTTCGGTGATGCGCCGTTCGAGCAAATTGCTCGACTGGTATCCCGATGTAGGCTTCTCCGACACGGCGACCATCTCTGGCTTCGCACTCGCTTGATTTACGGCGGCATCCGCCCCGCCTTGTCCCTCCGAGGAGCTGGGCGACTGATCCTGGCTGTGGGGAGCCGTATCGCGCGCGTCCGGGGTGTCTGCGCCATCTGCACCCGCTTCGCCCAGCTCGGCAGCATCCACGACGCCATGCTCGATCTTCCACTGCGCAAAGTCCTCCTTGCCGCCAAAGGGGTCCCACATGGTCAGTTCCGGGTAGCAGCGCCTCACGCTCGACTCGGCGCCCATGGCCATGAGCGCCATGATCGGATTCGTGAGTAGCGACAGGATCGCTCCATAGAGGAGCTTGATGATCATCGGGACCCACGTGCCTGCGAGCTCACGGTGCTCGTAGATGGGTGCGACAATGGCGATGGCCAGCGGCCAGTACCACCAAAACGTGAGGCAGCACAGGAAGAATCCCTGCGCGGCGGTCCACGCCAGACGTTCCAGTCGCTGACGCCAAGAGATGCCTGCGGCCAACAGGTCGTTGCGCTCCGACCCAGTCAGTACGGCTCGCACGAACCACCACCACCAGCCGTTGAGCTTGGACTTGCCCTCGGCCCGACCCATCCGGCACTGCGTATGCTCGCGCTCGACGTCCTCGGGCATGCGGATGCCCAGCCAGTGTCCCTGCGGCACGGGTGTCGACGGCAGATGCAGCAGCGGTGGCCACGGACGTCGCAGCGGCCCAATCGGGCCAGCGTACAGGTCGTGGTGCACGAGCGACGACGTGATGATGAACGAGACGATCTGCTGGATGATGACGGTGACGCCCATGTCGCCCGCGACCGTCTGGCGGTCAAAGGTCCAGATGTTGATCGTCGGCTGCGTGCGATACAGTGCGACGGCGACGCCAAAGTTGATGGCACCGGAGATGATGGCGGCAACGATGCTCTGGCCAAACACGAGGTACCACCACTGGCCGTAACCAAACGTGAGCGGGCCGGGCACGATCCAGTCGCGCAGGCTGGCGGGCTGGTCGATGACGACGCCAGAGCGTTCGTAGGGCGCGGCAAAGGGGATGGCGCGACGTGCATGCTTCCACCAGCCCTGCTGGGGCTTGTGCGGATCACGCTCGGCGAGGTGCAGCTCGTTGGGGCGCTTGCCGATTGAGCGGCGCGGCTCGTGCATGGGGTCGATGGGCTCCCCTGTGCCCTGGTTTCGCACCAACGACATGGACCTGCGCAGCGCTCCGCTCGTACGCGCTGCTGCCGCATCGAGACTTGTGCGGCTCTGGCTGAAGCTTCGCTTGATCGACTGCGAGCGTCGGTGGGAGCGACCCACTGACCTTGAGCGCGCGGGCTGTTCGTCATCGACAGTGCCGCTGCCGGATGCATTCTGGCTGCGATCACGACGAGGATGATCGGCATATGAGAGCGAGACCCTTGGTCGTGGCGATGCAGTGTCGCCGTGCTCGGAAGCACCGTTGGGGTGATTCAGGATGCCGACATTCGATGTGGGCTTTGCGATGTCCGAGGCCGGATACGCTGGGATAGCAGAGGCGCTGGAAGAGGCGGTACCTGTTGACGGCTCGATGCCTTCGGCCACCATGGCTATTGCTGTAATCTCCGCTGCTGCCGAGTCGATGGTGGTTGGGAGCACGATGCCGGACCCCTGACATGCGCGTAGTCTTGTCGGATGGGCTGGGCTTATGAACCTCCGCTGCGTGCGGATGCATGTGTAATGACGAGCGGCCCAACTTTTCACCGCACAGCAGCGGGCGGGACAGGGTTCGGAGGTCGGATCTCAGGGTTCGCGAGCTGCGAGCCGGGCGTCGAATTTGCAGACACGGCACGCGCACTGCGAAATTTCAACAAAACACACACGCACCCACGTCTGGCGCCGCCGGATTTGACGACGCGGAGCGTCA